ATAGTGAAATTATGGTTATTTCAACTATATTTTTCTATTAGTGTAATATAGCCAACACTGGACCAATGTTTAGCCAATGCGCTGCGCTACTAGGGAACTGTTATATTATGTATAATTCTGTGATGAAAACATTTGCGCTTCCCGTAAAAATTGCAAATGTAACAAAAACTGTCCAAATTCCTCGCGGTATCTCGAAAATCACAGAAGCAAGAACGTGACGTGGACGACGACGCTTCATTAATTTTACTATCGCGTAACGGCGAGATCGTCTCCTCGCGAGCGCGTTAATGGCCCCATAAAACCGCTCCGACTTCCATTACATGCTCGCAGATAATAAGTTTAACGCGGAAATTAATGAAATGCATGTCGCGCCTCTTCCATTTACGCGAAAACGTTACTTCCCTCTTACATGTATAACGATGCTTTTCCTCCCGTACGTGAACGCGCATACGCGCCCACGATCGAGCGCGTCCGCGATTTCACGGTTACACGCCTCCACGCATCGGAAGATCGATGTATAACCCCGTTTCAGCTTGAGTAACTGTGTACGACCACGCCGACCTGTCGGCCTTTCGTTGCGCGCGTCCCAGATCGGTGAAGGGACGCCAATCGTCCTTCTCCCTTCGCGATACCCGCCGCGAAAAACGGCACGTCGCTCGCGCGCTGCGGAAAGCCGACAATTATCCGCCAGGCGGGCCGCGCGATCGGTCGATTCGTTAATAAGCCGCGGTGGGCTCGGCGGCGAACACACCGGAATAATTCCACCTCGTTAACGAGGCGCGCAGTCGTTAATTAAACAATAACCGGCCTTTCAGATTCCCGATCACGTACGCGGCGGCGGCTGCGGCGGCGGCTGCGGCGGCCGAAGATCGTTTACGTGCGAGATCGCAACAAGTACCGGAGGGATTCGGCTCGACCTCGTGATATTACGCGTCGTGAGAGAAACACGAGGCGAAAATTTCCTCCGAGTTCCCTCCCCTCTCGCTGCCAGCGCGCGATAGACGACGGAGAGGAAAAAAAGAAATAGGCTCCTTAATTTAGGACGGGTCTCTCGAACGTGGACCACGCGCCCGGCCGGCTCATGAATATTTATCTATCGCCCACGGACGGAGATTTGTCGCGCGATCAATCTCCTCCGGCGTGGATTAATTGGAGACTAATTCGGGATCTGAGAGACCGAGAGAGAGAGAGAGAGGGGGGGGGGACGAGATAAATAAAATTCGTTGGGCTAGATCGGCGGCCGCGTGATTGCGAGACAATGGGATTAGAACGTGTGCCCGCGTCTTGCGCACCTTACGCGCGCGCATTCGCTCGTTAAACGCAACCGACAATTACCCCGATACGCGGAATAATCGATCGGCACGCTCGTTAACGAGCCTACTGCTCTCGGATACGGGAGACAGAGAGAGCCGCCTTAATTCCCCGTAACTTTTGCCGAAAGGTTATCGGGCATTAGCCGCTTCTTTAAACATGAATATTCATCCGTAAAGGTCATCTCGCATAAATTCGAAAGGATGTAACGATCATAAATGATTTAAAGACGTCTATAAGGATTGCGTGGCGCCCTTAACGAGGCCTTTCCCCCCTTCGCCTCCCCGCCCCCCGTTCAGATAATAATAGCTCGGTAAATTACAACAATCTGAAGAGCGGATTAAAATCGGATATTAAATTGAAGCGCAGATTACTTTTCGTCGCTTCCTCAACCCCTTCATGAGCATCGGGACACGCGTGAGCTCCACTTACACTTTTTCTTTTTGGTCAGACTCAACGATTCAGCACGCGTTTCATTAACAATTCGGCCACGACGGCGTTGAAAAATACACCAAAGGTCTACAAAGTCCCGTACAATTACCTTGGATCACGCGTGAAGTTTAGCTTCAATTATCTCCGAGGCATTGTCTAAAGCGGTTCCTCCGCCGCCACGTTGTCGTCCCGGTTTCTCCGCTTTCTCCGTGTTTTACGCCCGCGAGAGTATCGCGCGGGTGCAATCTGAAAACTTGCGGGCGCAAGGCGGAGATACCGCGAAAATGTAGCCGCAAGACGAGAAGGTGGCTGTCGCGCGGCCGCGATAAAGAGGCTGCGGGCTCCAGTTGCCAGTTTGCCGCGGGGCCGTGGAGCGCGGTAGACCGTCCGGTTTATTGAAAACTTCCCAGGCGCCTCTGCAGCGGACGCGGCCGCTGCGCGCCGAAAGTTCAGCCTCTACCGTGTTCATAATATTGCGATAAGCGTGACAGCGCGCGGGAAAGCCCGCTATAACTCGTGTCGCTAACTATAACTCACCTTCGACTTCGCTAACATGCTCTGGATTGCGGACATATTGATTCCCTTTCAAAGTCTCGCGAATTATATTTAGAGAGAGAGAGAGAGAGAGAGAGAGAGAGAGAGAGAGAGAGATGCGGCGGGTCAGGTTGGGTCCCCATATCCCAGCAAGAAGCGAGTCGTCGATCGATATCGAATCTCGACGCGATCTCGACGTCGATTCGATATCGTCACTTCGATACCGACCGACGGCTTCTCGCTGGGCAAAGTCTTTGAATTTGATTCTGCTCGCTCATTACAATCGCTTATACTTAACGTAAATTTAAAATAATTATAAATATATATATAATTATCAATTATGTGCACTGCGAACGAGATAAATTACTTATTAAGTATTTATAAACCACTTTAAAACTTACCAGATACATTCTGACTTTTGAACAGAGTGTATCGTTCTGCTCGCCAAACGCGCCTGTTGTGCACGGAAGAAAAATCGGATAGATTCAACCAGTCGTCTGTTAGAAACTGGACGAATCAGAATTCCTTTAGGATTTACCATGAAAGATATTTCATAACCAGAAGTCTGCTAGACTTCACTACACAGCTGGTAAATCCTAAAGGAATTCTGATTCGTCCAGTTTCTAACAGACGACTGGTTCAATCTATCGGATTTCTTTTTCAGTGTGGCTACAAAAATGCCCTGCCTACGATGATTATTGACATATTAATAATTCACAAATAGATTTGGTATCGCCAGGCGCGCGTATAAAACCAATGATACGTAGTTTTTTAAAAACGACCTACCCTGGCCAATGTTTTTATTTAAAAATCAAACGACGTTTCGGTCCCGGATTTGGACCCTTTTCAAGTAATTTGCCAACGTACTTAGCACTAAATATTTTTTAAAATAGAGTAAAATAAAAAAGGGAAAGTAATTATAACGAAAGTAAATCTGTACCTCTTCGCACAATTCTTACTGATCTCATATCGTCCGTTTGTAAAAAAAAAACTACATATCATCGATATTAATAATTGTTTCTTTTCTACTGCTTCTTAATTTACGGATTATGACAAGGTAATTTTTATTCTCAGACGGAGCTGACTGTCCTTGATGTAATCTTGCATTGTTACGGAGGATTATGATTCCCAATGCGTGACCTTACGCGCCTGCGGTGAAAATGAGCAAATCAGTTCCTGGAGAACGAATTCTTCGTTCGAAGTATTCGCCGACCCGCGTGAGTCAAGCTCCCCTTCGCGCGCACCATTTAACGGACGGATTACTCATCTAATCGCGATCTTTATCGTCGGGCAACGCATAAGCCTAATCAATTTTATGCGCCTGGAAAGCGTGCGAATTTTCGGAACGGGCGCTCCACGAACCGCGCGCGGGAAACGCGGAAGAGTGCGTTGGTCGACTGTTACGGACAACCAGGGTAGCAGCGTGTGTCACGGATAGTGTCAGAATCTCTCTGAAATCTCAAATTATATTTGTCAAGAGACGTGGCAGGTCTCAGATAGACATGATCATTGAATGCAATTTTGTTATAATTGCTTCTAGTCGCTTAATCTAACATTAGCTCTATATCTTTTAGTCGCTGCTTTCGCGTGCAGCGTGTATGACGTATAATATGTATCATGAGACAATCTTTAATATGTATTGTATATAATATACACTACTCAAAAGAAAATATAGAACACTCATTGCATAAGCTGAATTTTTTTACTTTACTTTACTTTACTTCGCCTGGTGGAGCACGTAACAATCGAGACTCACCCTTACCGGTCCCAGGCCCGGATAAAAGAGAAGGGTTTGAGGGCGAGGCCAGCAACCTACTCTTGAGAAAAAGTACCAAACAAATAACAGAACCGATAGTTTGCCTCGGATCAAGAGGCGAATTAATCGGAAAACCAGGCTCAAGCCTACTTCAAGTGGAAGCAGAAAAATGGAACACTTATATTCTCTCGAGTATATAATTTTAATGTGGTTTTAAGATTCAAACTATATTCAAAAGAATATAATTTTCGTTTAATTCAATTTTTAATTTTATATAAGTGTTCTATTTACAAATACGTGTAATAGAAACGAAGATCACCACTCGATTACGCCGGGGATGTATTCGTCGATCAGTTTCTCATAGTATGGCCACAATTTCTCAACGTCCGGGACGGCGTCGCTTTTAGTATAAAGATCAAATTTGCTGTCAAATTTTCAATTAATCGAATTAATCACTGACAGTGCATCTTTCCGATTACGATAACATAATACATATGAATATTCTAACGTGTTGTGAAGGCTGCCAAAAAGAAAATATGTCGAAAGAAGAGACTACCAATGCGAGCCAGAAAATGAACGGAACTCGGTTCTCACAATACAGAAACAGAATTTCTCTTTAATATAATAAACGTTTCGACCCTTCTTCGGGTCTTCCTCAGTAAGACTACAACAATAATTGTTGTACCATTTCTCATCTTGTACTTTCGATAATTTCATTGTAGTCTTACTGAGGAAGACTCGAAGAAGGGTCGAAACGTTTATTATATTAAAAAGAAATTCTGTTTCTGCATTGTGAGAACCGAGTTCCGTTCATTTTGTGGCTCCCATTGGCACACTCTCTCCTTTCTACATATAATACAAATGCACCCAAATTTTTACGATAAATTCAGTAATTCTTCTAATTTGCGATAATTTGATATAGCGAATTTAATGGAGTCAATAATTTCTCTTTTACTTAACTTTTCATTTTCCTTATATTCTATTGCATTCAAATTATTTAATAGTTAACTTACTTAAATTCTGTAACCCATTTCATCATTTTCATATCTTCCGGGGTGCAGAAGTGTATGTAGTCGCCACCGGCGTGCCAGGGGTAAAAGGAGTGATAACGGATCATAGCCAAAGCCTCTTTCGGTAATTTGCTTTTGTTGTGCACGAGTACACGGTACAAGTACTCGTCATGGCCCCATGACATCATCAGATTGGTTATTCCGCACTTAGGTTTGTACATACCGTACTTTGTACTGCAACAAAAATATTCTCGATGTAGCGTAATACTTGCAACTTGCAAATTTAATTGTTAAATTACATATATATTTAGCTTCTTCGCTCTAAAAGATTATATATATATATAAATTCTACCAGCTTATATTAGAACTTTTCTTGGAACACTTTGTTATAAATATCTCTTTAGTTACATAAATACTTACACATCATGAATCACGTGTACTTTGAACAAGTAATACCTTTTTTATATCATATCTTATTATAATATTTTCTAATATCAGAAATTTCTGTTATTAAGAGGAAAAACTAAGGAAACTGGAACGTACTTGTAACGAGAGTCTTTGCCATCGGGATTGTTGTCAAAGCTCCTCGTTCGGTATACGATGGAGTCGCCCCAGGCACAACCGACGGGGAATGTGTCACCCACCACCGCCCACTGGGGTTCTCCGTAAAACGCCATCACCTACAATGTATAATCATTTGTTAGTTGATTTTAATTATATATGCATATTGAGACTTTTGTAAGGAAAGAATGTAGAAACAGAGAAAGCTCAGCAGAATATATTTGTTGTTTCATCAGGAAAATCGTGATTGACCGTGCCGAGTGTTTTTTTAAAGTCAAGAATAACAGAGAAGTCAGGGATCCACAAACTCTTTTAAATACACAATCGAGTCTACGTTGCAGTTTTGTCGTGTGACTAATCCAGATTGACATTCTAGGGTATTAATTTTGTTGAAAATAGCATTCAGCTGCCCGAAACATGTTGTGCTCGACGAGTTAGAAAAGTAATAGTGGAAGAGAAATGGGATCGAAAACGAAAAGATCGCAGGGATCTTGGAAATTGAAGAAAGAATAGATTCTTTTTAGAAGAATGAAAAGATGTAGTGTCTACAATTTGACATAAATTATTTTGAAGAAAATGGAATTTAGAAGAAAGTTTTACTTTACAAAGAATGTTATACAATATTTTCAACAGACATATTTTTTTTGATGTTCTAAGATTTCTAAAACACCCTTGCGAATTGTTCAAATAAATTCTTCGTAGATGTATTCTCATAGAGTTTTACATCTCGTCTCACCTTGCCTAAATCGTGAATTAAGCCGGTAAGATGGAACCAGCCTAGGTCTGGATGTTCCTTTCGGATGGATTCTGCAGTTTGGAACGCGTGGATGATATTAGGCAAGTTCGTGTCCGGATCGCTCTCGTCCACGAGGTCGTTCAGCTTGAGCAGGGCTTCTTTCACCGTCATTTTGAATTTATTAAAGCGAAGCCAATCTTTCATGCGAGCTGCAAAAAAAAACAGCGACTCTGTCACTCTTATCTTATCCTCATCTTTCTAACTTTCCAATCCGGAGCAATGAGATACAAATTCAGTCGTTTAAGTTTAAATTATATGAAGCTGAGCTTTGGACGTACTTTATATTTATTAATGCAATTTATCCTTTTATTTAATCTAATTATGGTTTCACTCTAATTCTATCTATTATACAAATATAATTATATATGTAACTTTTGACTAACTTTGCACGAACTCGACGGTTTGATTGGTATGCATCTCTTCGTAGGTTTTGCGGACACGTTCCTTGATAGGATCTTCGAAATCTTCATCATAATTTCGAAACTCATTCTGCCGCTTTCCGGCGTATACCGGCTCTGGTCGAAGATGCTCCGACGGGTCCAGCATTGTAGTATGGCCACGGTTTTGTTGCTGTAAGAAATAAATTGTTCAACAATCCGTACGTTAAAACAATCCTACCGTCAATCACTTTCTTCTATTAATAAATTATTAGTTGAAGAATTGAAGTTATTATGCGTGTGTGTGTGTGCAGTTATCTCGCGTGTAACTTTGTTTTTTATTGAAATTGCAACATAAAAAAAGTTCTCGAGAATGAACAGATGTATTATCTCTATATGAAAATGAGATGAAAAATGTATTTCGAAATGAGTCACCTAGTTTTGTGCTATGGAAAGTATTTTATTATATTTACGAGTAAAGCTGACGAATGACACGACCGTTATAAAAATTCACGTTAATGAAATACTTTTTCTATTTGCATGAAGAAATCTATGATTCTAGATCAGTTAATGACCTAGTTAGATTAATAGCTGTAAAATGTTATATACATATATACACAAATTTCTATACATACTGCTAAGTGCAGAATAAAATAAATACTGAAACATTTACTGAATATTCTTTGCAATATACTCTTGGCCTTATAATCAGTCTCGTTTGTGTGTGTATAACAAAATTTATAAAAATTGTAAAAGAATTGTAAAAATCACGATGCAACATTCAAGGGTTTTTACTATTTAAAAATATTGCGTTTCCTTTATATCGCCTTATTCTATGCAAAACTTAATAAAATGTTACATCGTGATTTACTTGACTTATATGTATATCCAGTTTAGTTTACTAGTTCTCTTATTCCATCTGGGTTTGAATATTTTTAAACCTTGAACTGTTATTACACTGAAAAATTAACAACTTAAAAAACTTTGTGTGAATCTTTGCTTATTTAATTTATTTACCTTTCAAAATGTCGAACACGCTGTAAAAGTCAGAGATTTGTTTATGTAGGGCAATTAAACTCATAATTTTCTTTAGCAATTACAAGATGTACCGTGAGAGATTGTGAAAAGAAGTCTGTCTGATACGGAACGATTTTTACTTTACGTCAGATCGTCTTTATTTTGCGTCAACGCTTATCTATTTGGTAGATACGCATGGACTACGAATTTATCAAAATGTTACGTATGAGATTTGTGACGCGATTGAATTGCACTGATGTGTATTGTGCAATGCAGTGCATTATCGGTCTCTATTTTAAACATATCTCGGTTCGGGACGCGAATTATAAAGCACGTGTTGGCAAACTTTCACAGCGTCGTAAAACGAATCCTATCCGAAGGAAATTTCACAACGCGTCTACACGGCAATCTTTTAATTACGAGTTTGAAAAAGAGATATATTTATACATATTCAACAATAATTTCCATTAAATTATATGAAAAAGCAATTCAGAGCGACACAACCCAGATAGCAATGCATGTCTAAAAGACAACTTAATGTTGTCTTAAAGATGTATTTTAGACATACATGCTATTTGGGAAGTTGTTAAAAAGCGAGATAATGATTTCGTCAACTATACAAGCAAGTGTCACGAAGAATAATTTACGAAATAACTGCTAAAATTTCTCAAAAAGTAATTTTACTCGCGATGTTGTTATTGAATCTCGAGTTCCAAAATATTTTCAGAAGCGAGACGTTGAGATGTACTTACAGCTGTCGTGACAGACATTTCGCAATTGTATTTTTCTTCCTTGGGCAAAATGTAACTGTTGTCTGTCTTATCCTGCGTGGAACTGCGAGTTAACTTATAAAGCCGAAGACAATTCACCCTTGATCCCCGTATCGTCCGATGATCCGATGGTGGTGGTAGTCACAGGCACAGTTGTGTCAAATCACATCGCCGCTGTTTATCGCACCCTTCCCTCTCCCTATTCCACAATTCCGGACAATTGTGAACACCGCATAGATTATTATAAATGTTTATCTGACATCGCAATTTACAACGTCGCGTCGTACAAATCGGTCCAGCGCGACCTGCGTTTAATGCGCCGCGCGATAAAATTGTTAAAGCATCTAAGAACGCTTTCAGATTCGGGCAAAATTTCCAGGGCAATTCACGAGCGAATTTCTTAGAAGTAAACGTATTAAAAATATGACAATTATCGTGATAATGTAATAATTGGATCGAAACGGATGCTGAACGATATCACTTATCGTCAGTCATGAATGATACTCTTTGTATGACGAAAGAAATTATAATGCGGCTCTATGAGCGCTTTGAAAAAAATTTACGACCGGAATTCTTTTTCTCTTTGCGATTGCAATGAACGTCTTGTTCATATTTTCGTCCGTCCGGCAGATACGTCAATTGCGTAAAACGGCAAATTTCACGGTCACGTATAAAGAGTGCGTGGTCTAATAATATGTAATAATATTACTCCAAATTAAAAAACGAGCGAGAAATAAATATTCGACGAATAGAGAAAGCGTTTTAGAGTGCCTGATAATTTTTGAAAGAAAAACTATGAGCTACTAGCTCCGACTTCTTTTTTCAAAAATCATAGAACAAAATAAAGCAATGAAACAAATAGTCGCCGATAATAGCACATCTAAAAAGACATTTCTAAATTGTCTACTCACATATATCAGCGATTTGCAACACTGATAATAGTGACGTACATTACAAATATTTCGTTTAACCGCGTTAAATCGGATTGGTTTGCCATGATGATCGCTTGACATTCGGCGCAACCGATGTACGAATAATGTCAAATATATAATACAATTGTTACCATTCCGCAACAAATTGATTTAATTGTGCGTGGTGCATTCGGATCCATAAAGGCCTGTGTCCACAATGCTAGGACTTGGTCAAAGTTTCGAGAAATGTGTAGCCAATCAACTTGCAGCTTTTCCGTAAGAGATGCAAATTGATTGGCTACACATTTTTCAAAACTAGAACTTTGACACAGTTCTTGGATCGTGGACACAAGGCTTTAAGAATTCGACTGCCGCCCAAATGACAGTGTAGTCCACGGCGTTCCCGTAGAGGGAGAACAATAAAAAAACAAGTGGTGCATTCAGATCTATTAAGAATTCGATTGCCGCGCGAAAATGAGAAATGATAAAGAAACGATAACGTTAGCGTTTCGCGGGTGAGAAATGTAACATTTGCAACGTGCTCGATGAAAACATCCAATTCGATAACCTTTGATATTGCATAATATCATCAGCCTTACATGACAATCAGGAAATTTTTCTCACTACACGTTCGTATGTATTATCAGAATTTCTACAATTCATCACAAACTTTCCTCTCTTTGATCTTGGAATATTTTTTTTAATTAATTTGTCTCCCAGATATCACTTACAATCTGTAACGTTAACTGTTCCAGACAATGTTAAGAATTGGAAAAATTAAGGAAAAGGAATTTTTGTGACAATTTTGTGACACATCTATACAAATCACTGAAATATACTGAATACAGATATAAAATTCAATTTTGTATCGCATATTTTTCCTTTCCAAATGTTTCCCTTTGTATATAAATAGTCGAAAGAAATTCGGGGATAGGAATTTGGTAAATAGTTGAGTCATAGGTAACTAAGCGACTTCGAAAAATGATATCATCGGACAAATGCGTAATGCAAAAAGAGAGCTGCACATGTACGAGGCGCCAGAGGTAGACTGTAAACATAGATACACATAGAAAAATTAAAGATTAAATTTTTCATGTTTCTTGATGACAAAAGTTTTATCAAATTGCCACAATACGCGATTATAATATACGTTATCTATTATGTAGCATAAGTGTATATACATTCCTTAACGTTAGCTTATTTAAATTAAACGACAAGACATCATCAAGGTGAGCTGGAGTCCGAGTGGCTCGTATTGCTTTCTCGCCGTCGTGAATTGTGTCGGTGTCTATGCGAGGGACTGCGCGAGCGGGATCTGTGTCGCGAGGATGATTTCTTGCTCTTCTTAGGTCTGTGCGAGCGAGAAGAACTCGAGCTGTCGTAATTGCTGAAACGTATACATGTATCAAATGTATTTCATGTATTTCATACTTGAAAAGACAAAATACCTTGGACAAAATTTTAGATATTCGTAATTCAAGAAGTGAATAATAGCGTCATTTGAAAATCGATACTTTAAAGATGAGACTATAAGTGACGCTACAAACTTAGCAATAAATAATTTTGCAACAGAACGCAAGTTAAAGATAAAATCTACTAGCTATAATGTAATTATAATGAGCACGCGTCTCTTTGAATAAAAATGAAAAATTTTGAACTTTATGTTGTTATTTCTACTGCATCCAGGTTACAATTAAACTTCAGTTACCTTCGATGAGAACTTTTCTTTTTCTTGTGCTTTTTGTGCAGTTTGTGCCTGTCCGTGCGACTTCCGCTCCGACTTCTCGAGCGTTGTCGCGATCTCTTGCCGCTCAGGTCCGCGCCCTTCAACCGATCCATCAGGGAATTACCGCACATCTTCGTATCTTGAGAAGACCTGTCTTTATTGTCCTCGAGGGACGGCGACGGCACGGAGTGCACCTCGTCCGAATCGTCCTTTCGAGGATTCGAATTCACCGTGGTAGAACCGGTCTTAAGTGCTGGCGTTTGGATATGGCTGAGAAATATAGCGGCTCTCTTTTTCCTCTCGAGTTGCAACTGTCGTTCCCTGGAAAGTAATTTATCCCGCGCGGCCGCTGCCAATTTATCCTTGATCCTGTCTTCTTGCGCCTGTTTATGCCTGATCTCCTTCTGACAGTCCTCGAGAATGTCGTCCGTCAAATCCACCAACTCCTTGTCGTCGCTCTTCGGTTTCTTCTCCGATTTCGGTGGGTCTTTGACCACAGCGGAAAAATTCGGATCGGCCGTGCTATCTTCAGGCGAGCCGGGCTTGGAATTGGCATCCTTCTTGTCACTTTCCATCTCTTCGTCGCTCTCTTCCAATGGTAAAGCGTTCCTCTTCTCGATTACCGTGCTCTCCCCGTCTTTCGGCTTTTTGATGGAGAACGATACGGTGGTGATCTGTTTCGCGGATCCCGTGCTCTGCTTCACTTTTGGGTCGCCGCCGTTCTTCTTCTTCGCTTGTATCATTTTCACTCGCTTCTGCACCTCCTCCATTCGTTGCTGCTTTTTCTGCAGCTCCTCCAGCTTTTTCTGCTTCTCTTCCTGCGGTTCTTGCTTCTGCAGTAGATGCTCTTCCGTCAACACCTTCGGATTTATCGCGCCCTCGTACACCGTCAGCTTGTGCGCATAGTAGCCGTGGTACTGATGCGACAACTCCAAGAAATTGAATCTAGGATCTCCCTTGTTCTTGACAATCGTCTCGAAGTCGCGCCCGTTCTTCGCCACATAACTCGCCATCTTGTCGATAATGATTTGAACGTCCGCTGGCGGCACGATGAAAGATGGCCTGCTTAATGGCTTTTGAGCAGGTATCCCGTACGGCACCAGCGGCGCGGGTGTCTCCTTGAGCGATGCGGTTTGCGTTGTGGCTGTATCGTTCGGCATGATTGGCATGGCGAGCTGGGAGGGTGATTGTATTTGTCCATTTGATCCGTATATAACTGGACCATGTGAGTACTGCATGGGCGTAGGATAAGAATAACCCTGGAAAGAAGGCATCGTAATGTGATAAAGACATTTATTAAATACGCTTTCACAACTATTGTTTTACATAGAGATTACGTGAGAAGTATACAAGAATTGCACAGTATCGCAGATCCTCACGTAATCTGTATGTAAAGCATTTACTCTTAGATCCCGCTTGATAAGGACCTAAACCAAAGGTCGAAACGTTGTGAAAGCGTATTTAATAAATGTGGCCAGCTGAGGTCGACTGAAACTTGAAATTTTATTTATATTAATACTGGCAATCTGATGAAGTATACTAGTTAACAATTATAATGTTCTTCAATGTATTTGGCTATTAACATGATACCAGACTTATACCTGATGTTGTGACCCTGGATGTATCGGCTGGTAATATCCAGTAGACGGCACTGACTGCACCGTTGTGTCCGACGCCTGCGGTGCCTTGGACGGTGGTGGCTTCCCTGTGATCTTGTTCACGAGCATAGAGTACGCGCAATCCGCCGATGGCTTATATTGAATACTCGGTATACTAGGTGCCTATAAACGGAAAGGATGTTCTTACAGTTCTGAATTTAGCTTATTCTAAATTAAATATCCTCTACGGTTAGCCATTAAAGTAAAATTGGAAATATAACATTCGGAATGCTATTATATCTCTATATTATATCTACAGATGTAGGCTTTACATGAATAATTTACAAAGATGTCACAAAATTATTTCAAAAAGCGTATTTTTTAAAAGCATAATAAATTGCGATTTGCAAATATTTGTGTAAAAAGTAATTTTAACAATTGCAAATTTTAATCGTGTATTTTGGTTCCGTTGACCTCGTTATTTTCGCTATTGACAACAGAATAATAAATAAATAATGCGTTTGCTGAATTTTTGGGATATCGTCAATTATATTGCACGCGCGTGGAAGGAATTGAATAAAGTTGTTAAATGGTGCAATAAATGAATAAATGAAAATGTATGAGAATAGGTCCAATGCATACCAGAATCAGCCCTGGAAGCAGAAATATTTGACACATAAATTAGTGTTGCACAGTATTATTAACTTATGTCATCGTGATCCGTGTGAATTTCAAGAGCGCCATTCTTAAAAATAATTCAGTGTGGTCCGGTCTAGAGGGATCTTCATATTTGGAATTATCCCGAACGCAAAATTCTTCTGCACGAGAGCGCAGGGACCGCTTATGCATTTTTAAGAACAGATTAATGTACAGCGTGCAAAGTGGCAGAATGTACCGTGTAAAACGTACCGCTTCGATCTTGGTAAGGGACGACGCGAGACTTGGATGCAGGTACGGTTCGTCATCTTCGTCAGACTCTTCCTCAGCTTCTACCAGTGAAAGAGAAAGGATAACGATGAGACTCGCGCACATCTCAAGATCATTGAGCTAGATTATGCATAGGTTACCAATTAGAGTATTAACAAAAATTTATGGCAATACTTACGGCAAGAAAAACTTAAGTAGAATCAAAGTAGGTGTGGGTAATCAAATCCTGCTTTATGTCGCTTCAATTACTTCAACTCAACTTCAATATAATTACTGAGACTTTGCTTGTTATAAAAAGTGATTATGCATACCAGATTCTTCCTTCTCAGGCTGCTTTTCGGGATTATATTTTCCACTCTTGATAGCTTCGAGGACATATTTGTAATACTGATGGAGCGGCTCGTCTATCGAGAGGAACGCAAACTGCGGATTGTTTGCCTGTTTCGTCTTTATCAAGATTTCCAACTGGCTCCCGTGTTGACTTATAAACAGCGCCGTTTTCATTATAATGGCATTCAGTTTCTGCGTTTCCGGCTGGACATTCGAAAAATCGACGTATTGTACAATCACATCCTCCAATATCCGCGAATACAATGAGACAAGTACGAAGCGAGGCCTTACCAGGGTCATTCCCTCGGGAATTTCCAGTTCGGGAGGTGGCACGAATGCCTGGTCTTCCTCTTGCGAGTCCTCCGATTGTTTCGGGCTCTGAGAATCCTCGCCAGAAGCCTTATGGCCGTTTTCGTCTTCATTGTAATTATATCCCACTTGATTGTACGAAGATTCGGAGTCCAGTGCCTGATGCAACCTCTTTATCTCCTCTTCTGCAACGCAAGCTTGCGAATTAAACCCCGTAACGTTCAGACAGTACGATCGAAACGTTCTCGGGAGAAGAAGACACCTTACCATGATACATGGACTCTTCCGCGTCGTTGTTGTAAAGGGACCGATACCGCTCCTCGTCACAGAGTTGCTCTACTTTCAGTTCTTCCTCGGTAAGTATCGTCCGTTGATCGAAACCACCCGGTGGTGGCTCGTGAATCCGTAAGTCAGCCAGTGCCCCTCGTCCATCGTATCTATACACATACAATACAGCCGTTAGAGGAGGAAGATGATATCGTTTCAGGTGTATTGATGTACAGTTGGCCGCCGCATCTGGAAATATTAAGTCAAAAAGTAAGTCCCACCAGAGCGAGTTTGTCTGAAATAGAACGCAGTTATATGGAGGACGCCTCGAGTCTCTTCTACCTACTTCGCTTTCTCAAAGTATCGACGTATCGCGACAGAACGTGGACAAATATTTTACATGGCCATTTCAAGTAACAATTGATTATCTCGTACCCGACGTTTCTAAATTACAGCGCCGCATCTAATCGTGTGTTGATCTTTAAATTTAAAACAGACGCTCGGATATACAGGTACACAGTTGGAAAATTTGCGTTTCTCTTGTTAAAGAAAAGTGCCGGTTAAAATTTTTGTGTCAAACGTTTAGCACATTCACGCGTTAATTTAACATATTGCTCTTGTGTTAATTGACCTCAAGTGTAAAATTATTAAAGTAACTGAAAAGAAATGTTAAAACAACACGATGTGTACTTATTTTTTAATCTTATGCAATACATATGTTCTATTTTAATAGTAACAAGATTTATCTGTTAAAATTTACAGAATAAAATGTTGATTCTATTCTATGTAACATAAATGAATGTGATTTCGAACAGTCATTTGACTTATTGCATCTGTAAAATGTTTAAAGTACATTTTGTCATTAAAAGTATGTTGATTTCAAATTATTTTGAGACTTGCGTTTATTTTGTGTTGAAATATTAACAGAGTACCAGTGTGATCGTTTAACGTGTCCGTATTATGTTAAATCAACACAAAAATTCGTGCGGACCGTCCGGGACATGTGGCGTCTGGTAAGTTCAACGCAAATTTCTCAACTGCGTGCAGATCTTGTTGCATTTAAACGCTGTACGTGAAAGATCAATGTAGCGAAACGTGGACGTGGACCCAGCGCAATGTCGATACAGAACAACTCGAACGTATATGTGCCATGTAGGGAGCACCAAGTCCATAGAAATTATGTTAAGCTTGCGAGTAAAGTAAACGTGTCCCTGCGCGCCTACCGAGGCAAAGCCGAGTTCTAACGTGCCAAATACATACCGTGCTGAGCGGTCGTAAAATACCTACAACCGTCAGCCGTCCGTTTTTCTTTTTGTCTCTCAACGCCGTGTCTCACCTTGCTGTTGCACAGACGGCCAGCCATAAGCATCACGTCTCACCAGAGCACCCGCGTGCAGAGCGCTTAAACCGCGCTGCCACACTGCAGCCGACAGAACACCTGCGGAAGCCTTAAACAGTCTCCAGTTTGCTTATCCAGAGATTAACGATGAGAAGGGGGACCCCGCTTTTTGTCGCCTCTAAATGCAGTACTTGGTTTGGATTTTTTTTTTCGAATTTTCTAGTCATTATTTTTTCGGTTTTGTTTTTGGTTTTTCGGTTTGCGGTCGAGGTCAGTCGTAACTCTACGTTTCGTCGTCGGGGAAACGTGACGGTTGTGCGTGGTCTTATGCATGAGAACAAATATCCTAGATGAGAAATTTGTGGTTCTAGGTTAGAGAAACGGACCTGTCTATCCTCAACGTGTTATCGCCCATCCATGGTATCAAATGCTTTCCCTGATCAATCATTTTCGCCTTGTCATCATCGCGAAATAATTTGCAGCTGTATCCGAACACCAACAGCTCCTGCGGTTCCTCGTCGCTATTCTTTTTACGGAGAATGCCCGAGTCTACCATCCACCGTTGGCTTTTCGAGGACGCCATTTTCCGACTGCTCCGACCGACTCTGCTCCGAGAAGTCCGAGAGGCCCGAGACGGAGTCGCCGCGTACACATACAGGCGTGCGAGAGCGACGAAGGGGGAAGGGGAGCGCGACGGTCAAAGGTGGCGGGCGACCATCCGCTTCCGGGATGCGCGCGCGCCTCTGGAATGCGAAGGGGCGTTCGCGTCCGCGTACATCCGTCGCGTTCGAACTTGGCGCCGTTCTCGAGGGATCGCCGCTGCGAAATCGCGCACCCCCCCGTGAAGCCTAATCCACCCGGATAACAGTTCTCGCGCGAGAAAACTTTGCTTGTCTTGTGCATGCAGATTTCTATGAGATTCGCCTGAGTTTTGTCCGTAAGATTTATCTATCAACTTACGTACAAAAATGGTATCCCAGATAGACAGTAACATTACACCATTATTATAATTTCTCATTCAAAAGTGAGATACTCTCAACCGAAGCTCGTTGACAATCGGATGATTCTTCCGTTTCGGTTCTCGTCGTTCGAATCTTCCGCTTCGGTTCTCATCGTTCGATTCTTTCTTTTACACAATTTTTGAATGAGAAATTATAATAATGGTGTAATATTACTGCATGTTAGATGTGTACATACGTTGGGTAAATATTTTGTAATCCTCTTTGTTCTAACACTATTCCCCTTGAATTCATAAAGTTTACATTTGTTGAATTCGAGATGAATACTTTAAGAAGTTGTCAGGAAAACGATTTATGGTGCATGTAACTTCTTCGGTCACTCTTATTGTATTCTTCTATGAATTCCTAAAGAATTACAATTCAGAAAAAAGAAAACTTAAAGAATACTTTGTGAATTCAGCTATCTGGGATCTATCAACTTGCGTACAAAAATGGCTCGACAACGCGAGCAAAATTCTATCCAAGTGCGTCGTCATAAAGTTTGCGCGCAAAATATTTTCTGGGTACAATGTACTCGCTGCATCCAGAAACATTCTATTTTACGTTGTCGATAAATCGAAATGCTTAAAAGATTTTTGTCGACAATGTACGATTGCACAGTGTACAATATGCGAGTACAATTTATCCACTTGCGCAAATTTTGGAAACACGTATTTATTGGCTACAACATAGAATGTTTCTAGACGCGCAGGGCACATTGTAAATTAGGCTTAAGTATCTGAAAGTTACTCGCCACATTTGTAAATATCTAAATTCGCCAACTCGTCTCGCGATCGATCAGACTTGTCTCCCGCCGAGATACGTCAAGTTTCACCGCGAGTTAAATTGCTCGTACAGCGCAAAACTTGCAGTTACATTGCAATAACATTGCTGCAATATTGCAACATTGCTGTAATGCAGCTGCAATGTAACAGCCAAGGCTTGTGCTGTATGGGACCCGGTAACCAGGGGCTCGATTCTTGAATTTATTCGAAGGAGAAGCGTATGCGAAAATTCTGCTCTTACAGAAAAGTTGAAAGTCGATTGGTTAAAGCCATGCGAATAGCCAATCGACTTTCAACTTTTCTGTCAGAGCAGAATTTTCGTATACGTTTCCTCTTCGGATGAATTCAAGAATCGGGGCCCAGGCCGCGCGCGAAATGATGCAATCGGACGACGCAACCCCGCAGGATGAAAAAACGTTTCTTCGGTCAGGAGACGCGCGTATCACTCGGCGTCCCGAGCGGGACTTTCCGATTCCGCGCCAAGTTGTCAATCAACGGAGGTCGTCGCGAATCGAACGTAATCGCTGGCGCGGTTCGAATCGCCCGCCGCGGCGCTGGCGACGCTCGGCCGCGCGGGGGCGCCCCGATCGATGCTGAGTTGCCGATGATCGCGCGCTTATTTATCGCACGGCATTTCGCTACGGGCGACTTTTAACCGCGATAAACGGCGTATTTCGCGCCCGCGGATCACCGGGCGCGACGGTGTGCGCGTCCGCGCGCGATTGGCCGCGCGGGTGCACCGCGTACCGCCCCCTCAGTACGTTATGGAATGCGCGACGGACAGCTACCGTGTTACGCGGCTCCGCACGATGCCCGGTCGTAGAGGCACGCCAACGGACCGGAATACGTGCGTGCGACGCGTTCGCGGGCACGACGTCTCGCCGCCCGACACCGGACACGGTACGCGCCTCAGCCGACGACCGCCGTGCGCGGCCCGACCGTCGCCGATCGCCGATCGCGCGTGCACCCGTGTCATTTTTCGCCGCCGCCGTCGCCGTCGGTAGCACGCAGTATACGTGGCAACAGAGCGAGTGTGGCCGCTGCCGTGCGAGCGCTGCGGTGTGCTCCCTGTTGGGGGTGTCACTTCCTAGTCGCGAGGGCACCCCGTCGGCGCCACCGAGTCCCGGGGGGGGGGTTGACGTTTCGCCCTAACGTACGCGGCGGGTCACCGTGTGCGTCCACCAGTGCGACGCGACGCGTCGGGGAAACGGGGACAGGCGAGGCGAGAACGAGAACGGTAAGCGACGCGACGCGCCGCGGGGACGAGCCCCGCGCGATCGGAGCCCCCGGCGCCACGAGGGGGTGGTACCGCGACACCACGTCGCCCGTCGACGGCGAGGGACGTCGGCGTCGCTGACCCGGTGGCCGACCACGCTCGTGCCGCCGTTACGCGCGCGAGCTGCCATTGAAGGCTCCCTCCTCCGTCCTGGTACGAGCGTCGCGCCGAGCCACGAGCCCGCGGCAGAGAACGCCCCAGCGAGCCACCCGGGGGACACCCAGCCGCGCCCGCGACCTCGTCCTCCGGCCGGGAAGCGGCCGCCCTTCGTACCGCAGCGAGGATAGGCGCGGTGCCAATTTTATCGCGTAAGTTCGCCTGTTGCCTACTGGCTTCTGGTGTTACACACCAGTCATCGTCTACCGCGCTTCTGCCGTACTACTCTCGGGCGTCCGAGGGGACTCGGTGCCCGCACAAAGGCGCGCGTAACTCACCTTTCCAAGTTCGCGCGGCAGTGAATAAGAGTCGCATTCAAAAAAAAAATTCGAAAAGATTCAAAGAAAGTAAGCGCGCACGATCGCTCGGTACCATTGGGCAGGTAGCGACCGATCGTCCCGTCTCTCGTTCCCGTTGAAATATCTCACGCAAACACGTGTGGCTTCTTCCAGTGCAGACGTTCCCGATGGGGGCCCGCCTCGTCCACCAGCTACATCGGGCTGACGCAGAATGCGATTGACACGTCGACACTCTCGGACGTCACGGCCGCTCTCTGTTTCACCTGCGGTGCTGCCTACATGAAGGAGCCAACTTGAGAATTGATGGTGCATCTGCCGCTGTTGTCCTCCCGTCAGCGTAATGGAGGAGCCGGTTAAGAAGAAGCAGCGCATCGAGATTAGCGCGGGGCCCAAGAGCGGGCTCGCCGACACCGAGGAGCTGCAGAGGAGCCTGCTGGAGCGATGCCTGTGCCATATGCCGGAGAGTAGCCTGCGCAAGCCGTTCACCAGCTTCACGGTCGAGGAGAACAACGGTAGCATCCGCTGCGCCGTTCTGTCCGACTGGGACTCCGATCAGATTCTCGAGTACCTCAGCGCCCTGCAGCTGCTGTTCGACCTGGCCATCCGGCAGAACGCCAAGAATGTCATGTGCAAACGCGTGGCGGACGTCTGCAACGCGGTGGCGCACAACGAGCACGGCATCATCGATCAGATCATCGACCTGTCCTACGTCAACGACAAGTTCGTGTCGTACACGGCGAGCCGCGTGCTCGCGTCCTTCTTCATCGTCACGCGGGACAACGTCGAGGCCGCCTGGCTGGAGAAGCTCATGGAATCGCTGGTTACCAGCAACTCGCCCAGCCAGATGCTCTTCACCCTGGACGTGGTCAAGAGAGTGGTCGAGCATAGGGACTGTAGTGTACACCCGTTGGAGGATAGCGACTTGGTCGCGCTGCCGACCGGCTGCAACACGATCGTCATCGCCGACTTCGACAGCACGGCGGTAAAAGCGATGTGCGTCAAGGCCCTCGAGTCCAAGTGGACCATCATTGTGTCCAAGTTCAATGACATTCTCGCGGAGTATACGCCGCAGCACGCGTCCGTCGTCATCACGTTTCTCCACCTGTGGGAGACCATCATCTCGGTGAAAGCCAATCTCTCCGTCATCGACACCAAGCCTTTCTATTCGGAGCTCAACAAGCTCGTGCTGTTACTAAATACCAACGTGCCGGGCGTCATCTGGCGGCACTTGCTCGGGCTCTTCAACGAGGTGCTGTGTTACGGCAGCACGCTGGCTCTGCAGGACGTGCTACCGGACGAACCGTGCTCCCTGGCGCATCTCATCGTACGCGCCGTCAAGGACTGGCGTCTGCTCGACGCGATGCCGTATCGTCACGGCTCCGGCAGGTTCGGTGGTGGCTCCGGCTCCGGCGATCGTCCTCTGCTGCAGAAAATGGTGTTGCTCGTGCTCAAGAGCGTCGCCGTGACGGTGCGGGAGACGCGCAGCGACTCCAGCGACTCGTCCCTCGGCTCCGAGGCCGAGGACCTCGACGAGGACATGGCGGTCATCGAGAGGAGCATCCGCGAGGTACTACGCCAGCTGGATCAGTGCGTCAAGGCACTGATGCCCTTCCATCCGGAGATGCCGCTGTCGCAGTGGGTTGTGCAAATGTTTCACGACCAGGACGACTTCCTGATCGAGGGTATGGTCTGCTGTCTGGACGTCGCCGTGGGTCTCTTCTATCGCGGCCCACCGCAGAACGATCTCGGCCAGATGCTCAGCCCTACGCTCACCTTTATGCAATTCATCCGTGCCGTGTCGCATGATCATGGTGTTCTGCTGGACCTGTTGGTCAGCAACGAGACCAGTTTCCTCTTATATCTCTTGCGATTACTCAAGTACATTAAGCGTAACTGGCTCGAGTTCATCACATGTTGCGGCCGCGAGTTGGACGACACTATGACGGTACTGATAAGACTACGGCTGGCCATCGATCGGTTGGTGGCCAAGAACCTGTTCCCGTACAACATTAGCCCGGTTCATCGTTTACTCGAGAAATGCGAGTCCTACTACGAGGCTAACGCGGAGAACGGATAACTGCCTCGTGTAAGATAAAGAGGACGTTCGGAGAGAACTCAAATCGCGCCACCAAGTCGATCGAGCTCGCGTGTACAAATTGTATGAACGTAATATTCTCCGAGCTTAGTTAGATTTTGCCATGTGTAAAATATCAAGTGTAGTGTACAGATCGCCGCATGCCGTCCTGTGAACGCAAAACGGTTGGACTGACTCGCCGATCATCGTCTTCTTGATAAGCTCGAAAAGACGAACGCGTTTTCTTATTTATTAGTCTTTAGCGAAATTTTTCATTATAGCTGGAATTGCGAGATGGATAGATCTCCATCTGTTCACGGCATCAGTTTCACATTTTGAGGGTTTCACGAACGGTCGGATTACATCGAATCGGCGGAGTAGTACAAAAAAAGGGGGGTAAAACGGTGAAAGTCTCAAAATAAAACTGCATCCGTGTGGTGCTAATGAATTATGTTTCTGCCAAAGCACCAGAGAGCATACATATTGATGTATACCACTAATGTAATATTTATATGTATACTTCGAGAGCTACTTGTACAATTTCCAGTCACATCTGTAAATGTAACTTTATTGTATTTTGATAAAATACCTGAGAAATCTGTACATATTTTACAAGCACCGGAGCCGACTTTGCAATACCGAGTTTTGCTGAATGAGATCACATATTCTTCCAATAATTCTAAAGAGAAAAATTTTACGGACCAGCCTTGCACGAATTGCAACGCAGCAAATAGGGCAGATGCAACACGTTGAAAAATTAGTTTTAAAATTGTCAGACCTACGGTAGTGAATTCTGTATCTTATACTATAGTGAAAATGCGAAAAGTGAGTGGCTTTGTCTCTTTTTGTCTTCTTGGAAAGAGATTGAACCGCTCATTTCTAGCATTTTCGCTACATTGTAAGATACAGAATTGATGCCTCGGTCTTATCCAGTGAAAGAAGGTATTTCGTAGCGTCAGACTTGTAATTTAGCGAAGCCGAGAAATATTCAACGTAAAACATAATTTGCGAACGAATTTGCTAACGGTTACAGAGAATACTGAAGAAGCGGTTAGCACTTTGGTATTCTTATTACGGAAAGGCATACAATTTGTGACATTAAAATCCCAAATACAAGAGGACGGTTATCCGCAGTTGTCTCGAGATTTCTGACGAAACGTAACTGTAAATAGTGACATTAACAACGCTATACACGTGCGCGCTACGCATTCAACGTAAGATTTCTCTCTGTAAGTAATGTAATACACTAAAACTTTCACGTTTTTACTTTTATAATTGTGGTGTCGTTTTTAATTCAATCTCCCCCTGTGATCGAGCGGATCTTACGACTCTACGTTCTAGACTCCACATTCTTGCGGGAAGATTCGGCTGCAGCTGGAAGATATTTCTTCTCCTTTTGCTTTTCGTTTTCAATCAAATATTTATTATCGTCTTTTTCCAAACGCAAGTCAAATACAATTGCCACTATCGAGACTTACGATTATAATGTAGCCCGGCAGATTGTCAGTGATGCCCCGCGATTAATCGCGCAAATAGTGTCCGATACATTGATTAGAGCGACGTAACGCGCTTATCGCACCGGGACAAACCGTCCGGATGTCTCCTTTTTTTGTTTCTCTCCTCCTTTTTACCTTAGAAAGATTCATATAGAATTAAGTTCGTAACGTTAGCCTTCCTTGGCTTCTTTTTTTTTATAAAATTACGCTACTCTCTATTTAGAATTTGCAAATATAGCTCTAATTATTTAAACGTTCGATCGGAGCGCGATCGAGGAATTTTGTGTCGAGATGGATCATCTTCCAGAAACACAAAAATTTTCTTACTAAATATTTATATTTGCGTATTAAATCATTATTTATATACTTCTGTACTTCGTCAATAAATCACTATTTCACAGCATCATTTTCCCATTTAAAACAAAAACTTAGCGGTACCGTATGGTTAAGTTTTCCCCCCCTCTTTTTATATAAATTAAACGTTCAATTGCGTTCTTCCCTCCTCTCTCTCTCTCTCTCTCTCTCTCTCTCTCTCTCTCTCTCTCTCTCTCTCTCTCTCTCTCTTCGGTTTGAAATGTTGCTTCGCTCCAAGTCGGTAAAACTATCGCATATTATACACTGATGTACGAAACTACGCTAAACTGTACATACCTCTGAAAAGTTTTACTTGGCGCGGAACGGTAAATGTCCACTGCTTTACTGTAACTTCAGCAAGAGTTAGTTCAACAAGCTCCACTAAATTAACAACAGAATCTAAGTTACGTAGCCCATTATTAGCGTGTAGTGTTCAACAGTGTGGATCATTTATCGCACTTTATCTCTCTCTCTCTCTCTTTCTCTCTCTTCCTGTTTGCTCTTTTTATTCGTTGCTATACATGTTCCCGCACTATCGATATAATAAACCGCTAATCGTCCGTAGCATACAATGAAGCATTCTCTCTCTGTACACGTTATCTAAATGAAAAATGTTCAATGTTCGTCGCGGCAGAAGCGGTTCAAGCGATTAACGCCACATGCACGAGGCATCAAGGAAATTAAAACGTTGCGGGGTATCGTTAGAGACAGTCTTTCCTTCATCACGAAAATATAGCGGACTGTCATCCGACGCAATTCTGACGGTTTTAGACGGACCGTCCGTTTTAGGAAAACCGCTGGTCTCCAGCTGGTCTCCACGCACGCGTAATCGGCATCCGAGAAAGAAATCCTACCTCCTAAGCTTAAAATTATCGACTAATTTATTTTATCCGATAATAGGTACGTTATGTCCGGACGACTCAAGGAGGCGATTAAAACCATTATGCAAGGAAATGCAATTTACGTTGGCTTGTCAAACGTTCGCGCGAGAACGTGTACGAACATGTGTTACACAAATCCGCCCGAGAAATACAAAGGACATAATAATTTCCGCACGTGTCGCACTTATTATCTCGTTACTTCATATATATATGTATACATATATATACACATACTTATTGTTTCGACTATATACCTATCGGTGCACGTGAGGCTTACTCAACGCTTTATTGCACTCTCACATCGAGCCGCCTCATCTTTTCTTCTTCTAACGAAAAATTAATGTACAAGCAATTAAAAACTCACTACGGGAAAAGAATTTCGGGGCCGCGATATTTACTAGAACTTAATCAAAATCAAGTTCCACGGGAACCGATTTAAAAAGGAAAATACTTGCGGATTTAATGCGGGAGAGCGTGTTCTCTGTGTGTGATAGAGATTATTATATTAAACAACACGCGCGCGCACGTATATATCGTATAACGGCGAGATACAATCGGACCATTAACACACAGTCTCTCTACTACCCAGAAGCCTTTTATACGCTCTATAGCAAAAGCAACGACACACACACATACACACACTCTCTCTCTCTCTTCAGTTGCGCTTCACATTTAGCCTGGTAATTTAATTCCGATACGCCGCTCGACTAAACCGATGAAACTCCCGTCACTCCGGTATTAAGTAGTTGGATGATATGAGCTAATTAGCGCCGCGTCCACCGGTTCCATGCACGACGGACAGGTCAACGAGCGCAGCAGCCAGTCGTCGATGCAGATCGCATGGTAGGTGTGCATGCAAGGTAGATAGCGCACTTCCTCGCCCACCAGCAGCTCCATCATGCATATCACGCACTCGCCCTTCTTAGCGCCGTCGTACTCTCGCATCGGCAAGTGCTGTATCAGTCCTATACGCTTTGCAATCCTCACTTGTTGCTCCTCCTCGCTCAAACCGGCCGAGCCGGTGCTCTGCACCAGGTTGACTCCGATTCCACGGCCGATGTTCAAGTTGGTGGACTGCAAGTGACGTTCCCTCGTAGCGATCGACGGATAATACGCCGCTTGCTGTGGAACATCAAAAGACCAATTAATACTCCGTCCATTATAATCAAAAACCTGTCGAGTGAATATCTTGGAATCTTTTAATCATCGCATTCCCTTTAACTCGATCCCAGCGTTGACATCAAAGTCACCGACGAGAGCGGTCGTAAGGACCACGTTAAATGGAATGAAATCAACACGGCTAATCGGATCAAGAGTCCATAGAAGATCTCACGAGCTGCAGTCGGTTGCAGCCTCGGCGTTCAAAGTCAGGCCCTGTACGTGTACGAACGACGCAAGTAAATGACGGACAAAGGAGTGAGTGACAGATTAGAGACGGAATTGCGGCTTGAGTCGAAAGGCGAGGGTGCAAACGACGACAAGACGGCAATAGCGATGCACGTGAATTACGTTGTAGGGGATCGGCGGTCCGAGGCCCTCCTGCGAGGATCCGCTCGCGGACACGTTGGGCTCAGGATTGTTGCTCAGGAGGGTGGTGTTGTCCTGTTGATTGCCAGCGGCGCGCTTCAGACAGTTGCCCATGGTTCTCTCTCTTTCGCCCTCCCTCTCTCTTACTCTCTTTCTCTCTCTTCCTCCCTCTCTCTCTCTCTCTCTCACTAGCAGCGAGCTGTCAGCTTTGCAGGTCGCTCGCGCGTCGCATCCGCGCGTCCACCCCGATCGCGATCCCGCTCTCCCGTTCCGCGCGAGCGATTTACAGGCTCCCGTGCGGACGCGGCGACGACGGCGGCGGCAGCGCGACGTTCGACGCACGTACGACGGTGCTCCTTGCCATTTCACCTGGACCGCCGCTCTCTCCGCGGCGCGACAACATCCGCCGTCGACTCGTCGCGAGAGCAGCAGCGGGCGACGCTCGGCCAACGCGATCGAGGTACAACGATACCGTCGCAGTAGCCGTCAAACGCAGCCGTCACATACCCCTCTCAGCAGCAGCAGCAGCCGAGTCACTACCAGCTGAGCGTCGCCATGATGCGCGGAGCGCGGCAGGTGACTCGTCCGCGCATAATGGCAGAGAGCGGAAGTCGCTCGATTTCGACGTATATCGCCCGACTCCGATTACGATTTCTTCCACTCTGTCTTCGGCCTCGTGCGCGCAGACAACGATTTCCCAACTCCGCGTCCCCCTCTACCGACCGCCTCTCCGTCGGCGCGTCCGCGCGTTCGCGCCGCTCGTCTGAAATGAGAAAACGCTACGAGGAGAGGAGGGCACGGTCATGTTGAATCCTCCGCGCTGAGCCCGGAGGTCTCTCGCGGTGCCGCGCGTCGACGGGCGGCCTCACCTGGTGTCCCTAAATCACCGTCGGAGCGCGCGGTAGCGCGCGTCATGCTCCATGAGACGGCACTTTCCAGCTCGCCCGGATGTTCTCGGGACGGATAGTAGCGGGATCCATCGCGCGGCGCGTCGCTCGTGAGACAAGAAAAATGAGCGCGTAGGAGAGAGAGAGAGAGAGATAAGGTTGGATGGGAGGGAAAACGGGACGAGCCTGTGTCACTCGCTGATCGCCGCTGGTCTCCGCGATTCTTGTCCGCCGATCCGATCCGCTCCGCTCTCGTTCCCGTTCTACTACCCCCGCGGTGCTGCACCTCCCCGCGCGGCCGCGCTTTTGAAATCGACGGCGCGCCTCGGCCCGCTTTACCCCCTCGTCGGGTATGAGCTCCTGATACCGTCCCGGAGTTCTGCTTCCTCGAATTCTTGTATTCCGCGCGACAACGTGCGGCCGATTGTCCTCTGTCGCACGTACAATCTAATTCGACTAACGAAGTAACGAATACCTCAAGATCTGCGTTAATTGTCTTATCTTAGATGATTGCGTCGCGCATACATTAAATTAACGAGACTAGATGTGAATTTTTGCACGAGACGTATTTCGTTACGTACAGCAATCGCGCCATTTATTTGCCGGGCAAAATAATCGCCGGCGGCTTCACCGAAATCGCGCGCGTAAAAACGCGCGAAAAGAAAATCGCGCCTTTCGAAATTCGCGCCAGCGGAATATATTCGATCGCCTGCTCGAAATCATGCTCGCCTAATAACGCGAATTCGGCTCCTGATATTCGAATTCGCGGCTCACTTCGCACGCATCCCCCCCGGGAGGGCGCGAAATTCGAATCCGAGCACCTCCTCGCGCGGCATACGCTCCTGATAACTTTTCTCGGATTTTTCGAGGCTGCGGCCAGTAGCCAATAGACCCTAGGACGTCTCGGAGTACAAGTCAATGAGCGAAACGGGCGAGATCTCTCGTTGCAGAGCGCGACCGTGCGTGCGTCCTCCTCTCTCTCTCTCCCCCTCCCTCCGGCGCGGCTGAACGAAGAGCGGAAGAGGTGCGGACGAACGGACGACGCGACGGCAGCGCGCCGGGCCGTGTTATCGGTCGTATCTACGAAGAAGCGTGGCGGCGCCAAGTGCGGTGTCGTCGTGTCCGTACTCGAACCTCAAAAGGGACTGAAAGGGACGGCCCTGCGCGCGGAGCCGACGTAGCACTGCGACGACGAAGAGAAGAGACCACCGACCAGCCGTGCCAGAGGATGGACGGTCACTGGGCGTCGCGGCTCCTGGCGCTCGCGGCGTCGGCGAGCCTGCTCCTGGCCGCGTGCGCGCCGGGCCACGTAGCCGGCTCGGGGGTGCTGCAGATACGCGGTATACCGGTGGCCAAGAACCCGCTCTACCGGCCGGACCGCGACTTCGAGTGCCTGGACGGCAGCCGGCTGATACCGTTCGCGCGGGTCAACGACGACTACTGCGACTGCGGGGACGGTAGCGACGAGCCCGGGACGGCGGCGTGCGCCAACGGCTACTTCTACTGCGAGAACGCCGGCCACAAGCCCGCCTACATACCGTCGTCCTGGGTCAACGACGGCGTGTGCGACTGCTGCGACACCAACGACGAGTACGCGTCCCGGGTGGAGTGCGTCAACAACTGCAGCGAGCTGGGCCGGGAGGCTCGTCTGGAGCAGCAGAAGGCGGAGCAGCTGGCGCGCGAGGGTAACAAGCTGCGCCTGGAACTGGTGGCCAGGGGTAAGACCCTCAAGACGGAGCACCAGTCGCGCCTGGCCAAGCTGAGAACGGACTATGTGGAGGCGGAGCTCATCAAGAAGGAAAAGGAGATACTGAAGAGGCAGGCGGAGGAGCTGGAGAGCCTGGCGTTGGAGAAGTACAAGCCCGCCGAGGAGGAGCAACCGGCCGAGGAGGCCGTCGAGGACGACGACGAGGAGGAGGAGGGACTTTCCGAGGCAGAGGATTATTTCAAAATGTTGGACTCGGATTCCAGCGGTACGATAACGATAATAGAGCTGCAGACCAGGATTACGTTTGACAGGAACAGGGACGGTGTCGTGTCGGACGAGGAGGCGCTGTATTTCCTCGGCAATAAGGAGGAGGTCTCTCCGCAGGAGTTTGTAGATATCGCGTGGGCAAACATAAAGCCTTTCGTCATGTTGGAGCAAGGTAGATAACGTTCAACTGCTTATCTTTTTCCTCTACAGTCCATAAACTGTCAATTTCGTTATGTAATTGCAGGTATGTTCAAAGCTGCCAAGGATAAGGAAGAGCTCGACAAGCAGCCTGTCGAAGATTCGGATCACGAGAGGGAAGGAGAGCTCCCTGAGGGGGAGGAAGAGGAGGTCCCTGAGGAGGAACACGAGAAGGAACCAGCGGAGCCGGAAGTTCAATACGACGAGGAGACGCAGGCGCTCATCGACGAGGCCACCACTGCTCGCGACCGTTTCCAGGAGGCGGAGAAGGCCATCAATGAGTTGCAGTCGGAGATCAGACAGCTGGAGGAAAAGATGGACCGCGATTACGGGCCTGAGGAGGTGTTCGCGTCCCTCGACGGCGAGTGCTTCGAGTACACGGACTTGGAGTACATTTACAAACTGTGTCTATACTCCATGGCGACCCAGAGGTCCAAATCCGGTGGTAGCAGCGTCAATCTGGGCCACTGGAACGAGTGGGTCGGGCCGGCCGGTGCCAAATACACCAAGATGAAGTACGATCGGGGCCTCACTTGCTGGAACGGCCCGGCGCGTTCCACCGTCGTCACCCTGTTGTGCGGAACGGAGAACAAACTCCTGTCGGTAACGGAGCCGAGTCGCTGCGAGTACGCCATGGAGATCTCCACGCCGGCGCTCTGCAATCCCAGCGCGACGGAGGCCGCCGACAGGCACGACGAACTGTGAACTCATTCATTCGTTAGTAAAATGAAAGCGCGGTCGGTTGCACGTACAATGTGAATGTCAAGCACTTACGCTCCTTCGGCGGGCTGCGAGGCGAGCATCGAGTTGCGAAGGTCGATAAGAAATATAACGTTGAATTAAGAAAAATCTGTCTGTCATAAGTATCTCCAGCGCAATCGCGACTAGTAATGTAGCTAGTAATCCTTACTTCGATGGATATCTGTTCTCGGGACATATTTTGGAATTCTATGTCGCATTCTTTTCAGTGTAATTCGCAATCATTGTCGCGACCGCTTAGTTTCGATATACAATCTGTGTTGTTATACCTTTTATTGTTAGTATTGAAACTTTGTACTCCAAGTTCTTGTCTCTCAAAGATGAGACGAAATCGTTATTGTGGACAAAATACGTTGTCAACAAAATCTAATCGTATGTTGGTTGGACCAACAAATTTCATCGCTCTTACATTAACAAATCGTGGACCGTTCGAAATCATTATATTCCATTGACCCGCTATTTTAATTCGTATATACTTAATTCGATTGTTACAACATTGTACATTGTCATCGGTCCACAATATGTTAAAAGGAAGAAGCTTTTTGATTAATCGAATTTAGTATGTGAATATATATTACTGCAATTATAATTATTTCAATAATTTGAAACAAATAAGATAAATGTATTATTAAGATACTTAGGTGTTTCCGTTAAAATGTACCGCTACATACGCAAATTACAACGATTACGATCGCGATCGATAATTCGTCCTTGCGTCCGACGAGTCTTTACACAGTATTGAGGTTCGCTAAGTGATAAAGTCCGAAGAGTAATTATCTTGAATCTTATCCAGTTTTGTAAAAACCGCAGAGAGACGCCATTGTTACGCGCGAATTCATTGCCAACATGTTGAAACTCGCTGTTACATTCCTCATTTTGTACACAAAGCGTTTCTACGTGAATCTAAGAATAAAGTCGAAATGTAATAATGTGACTGACGCCAAAAATCTCAATGAAACATACTTTGTACCACTTATTGTTAGTACATACCTCGTACCGATAAGGGAAAAGAAAGCCCGCGCACCTTTTCCGGGATTCGGTTAGCCACACGTACGTATCGATGATGTCCTAATGTTCCGCAATTATACACTTAAGTCGGTAATTTTGTAATTTTTTAAGGACGCGCCACGGAATGGCGCGACACTGTGGGATGTGCATGCAATAAAGAGCGAGAGAGAGAGAGAGGAATTATGTTGTCGAACCGTAATTTGCGATGGCAGCTTTATTTACATCAATGGAAAGAAAATCTGTTCAGTGTAAATGCGCGCGTGTATGTATGTCTGTGTGTAGAATTCCTCTTGTTATTCTGTATATTATTACATAATATTACAATGACGTGGTGGTTAAATCCAGTTTTCTCTATTTACTCTAAGAGACGATCTTTGCATCTTTCGGGATCCGAAATATATACTCATCATCCGAATAACTAAATGGGGAGGGGGTTTGATATAACGTTCCGCATCTTCTATGATCGACGTACGATTCAGTTCGGTTCCTCGATTGATTCGGTAAGGCACTTGAAAGGCTACAAAAACCATTTCTCGTGGAGTTAAACGAGTACGATATGCTCCTATACAGCCTTTTCTACGCCTCCTAGGTCGAGAAAAACGGGGGGATGATCGCATGCTATCGCCGACTATCGACAATTTCACAATTTTCCTCTTATCACTCTTCTTCTAACAATCTCCTACAGGTACTTAATTAACTCGAGACAAAATATTAACATCACTTACAATTAGTGATAAGTTTCATCGACGAGGAATTGTAGGCCCATTTTAGCGTAATTCGAATTACACTTTTCACGTGTAGGCAGTCCATGGGCAATTTGTGTGGGGGATTAATACATTTCTTGTATATAGAATAAACGGTTTTTCGAGAGTATCGAAAATATACAATTGCACACGTAACATCTCTTAGACCATCGTACAGCCTAAAATACTTTGTGTCTCTTCTACATTTATCAACGTTAATACTATAGTGTGTGTGTCTGTCTGTGTGTATGTGTATGTGTGTGAGAGAGACAAACACATATTCATATATATTTTTTTCTTCAGAGAATCATTGAAGTGATAACGCACAACTTTCCTTTCGTATTTACACGATATGGGATAATACACGATACAGTATATATAAATGCATCACGCCGAAAGGATCACATCTTTGCTAAACTACTGTACAACTATCTGCGAGTGAAATAAAGCTCCCTAGGAGAATGTATGCGCAATCGCGAATGCATTTCCGTGGTGATGAGCATCGTGCGCGATCAGGTATAATCTCAAGTGTTAGAGTTCTCAGTCGTGTAGAAAAGAAATGAAAAGAAACACGAACGCGAGAGTTGAAAAATGCCGTCGCGAATAAGCCTGATTTCCTCAATAAATACGTCGATGACCAAACAGCCGGATATTATCAACGTGAACTGAAAGCTTTCTTTCGATTTTTAACGTCAGACCGCGCCGTAATTATTTTTTGATTAATTTATATGAAAAGATGCAATTATATAGAAGTAATCTTAATACCAACCTTCATTTTGGTACTTGAAAATTTTTTACTTTCTCTAAACACGTGTGTATATTTAAAATATTTTCCGATTAATTTTTATACTTGTATAATTACTCGTTGAATTGATTTTTCATTACTTCAAATCCACAGCTCTGTGTGGATGATCAAAAAAGTCCTCTATGAAAAATAATTATCTGCAACCGTCGATTTCCTTTCTTTTTACTCTGTTCGTGATCCAAATAGTTCCAATAACGAGAACACTAGTCTACGACATGCATATCTGCCAAGCGCTCTAAACGAGATCGTTTATCTTTTCTCATGATTATCTTTTCCGGTGTCTTCCTTTTCTGCATTAAGCATCGGCCGTTAATGAAGCGATCCGCTAATCAAAAAGAAGAATCGCGAAAGAATGACTCCACATCGTTCTATCGCCGACGCGTTCATTTCCCAAGTTTCTCGAACATGATCAGCTTCTCCTTGAAACTCTTGGTGTCGGTGGACACCTCCGATATGTTTCCGTTGAGCATGTTTTGCAGATCTTCGTCGTTCTTATTGCTCACTAGCAGATTGTCGAAAAGCATCTTCGTGTCCTCTTGCTTGGCCACTGGTGACGTCGGCTGCGACGTGCTCATCTGCTTCTTCTTCGGATAGATGACCGAGCCGCGTTGATTATTCCCATTGTCAGCCACCCTGGTCATTATTGTAATGGCCAACAATTGTTGGATACCTAAGTTCTCTTTAGACACCGGCTCAGAGGACTGGCGCCAGTAGTATTTATTGTCGGCGGAAATCAGCGACTTGGAGTCTTCAGTGTCGTCTCCCATCGACGCTTGATCGGAATCGGTCGTCGGTGCGTTTCTGCTGGACCAAGAATCCTGAAAGATTATTAGAGATTAATTTCTGTCATCAAGAAAACAATTAAGAAAATACTTGGAGAATACAGCTAGAAAAGCTGTTTAACTTACACATAATTATTTCTAACACTAATAGCAAATTTTGCTATTATCCTGATTTAAAAAAAAGTTAACTCCAAGCAAATCTGTTTCACTGTTGTAATTTCTTCTTGCCATAAGAAAAAAATAGAAAAATGTTTCCTTAAGTTATATTTTTCTGTCTTCCCTAAAATCTTACATTTTTCTCACGCCTGTCTATCACGCTGTCCGTGATTTCTTCTTCCTTCCTGTCCTGCTCCAAGTCTTTCTCCAGACTATCCAGTGTCTCGGTGCTCTCCGACGACTTGTTCCTCCTGTCCGAATCCAGAGTGTCTGTGCTACCCAGCTCCGAGCTTTCAGAGGACTTCTGAAGCCTCGATGGCTTCCTGGTAGGAGTCGGCCGCTTCTCTCCCTCGTGTTCATCTCCAGAAGCTACCACATCTACTATACTGGTACTCGGTATTCTCTTAGGCGTTCTTCGGACCCTCCTGTTCTCCAATCTGTCTTCCACGTCCAAATTATCCGAGCTCTCCGACGACATTCTCTTGCTTGACCGTCTCATCTTCGGCGCGTCGTCATCCAGTATCACATCCGCCTCGACATCGTCCTTCATGTCGCTTATGTCGATTCTCTCGAAGCTCTCGGAGGATTTGGAGATGCTCTTCGACAGCCTTCTTCCACGCGATAAATTGATGTCGGACACGCTGCTTCTCTTCTGCAACTCTTGGCCGATATCCTCGCTAGCGTAGCCGCTCTGCTCGAGCACGTCAAAGCTCTCCGACGACTTGGACATTGCTTTCGAACTTGTACGTGCTCGGAAGTCAAAGCTACTTCGTCGTCGCTCCATCGAGTCGTCGCTGGCCAGCGGCTCGATTGCCTCTAAACTATCTGACGACTTGGAAACGCGATCAGTGGACTTCGAGATCGGATTCAGCAATTGCCTTCTGACCGCAGCCACCGGTTTCACGGTCTCTTCGTACTCCATCAGCTTGTCAAAGCCCTCCTCCGTAGATTTGGAGAACCAACAGCCGGGAGACGAGTCCAGGCTGTCAGGCGACTTGGATAACCGGTTCGACGAAGATCTTCTGCGCGGTAATTTCGCTTCCAGCTCTTCAAACACGTCGGAGCCCTTGGATATCCGGTTGGACGGTCTCCTGGCGACCGGCATCCATCTGACTTCTGCCTGCTGTTCCTCGGTAGCAGTGGTCATCTCGGCACTGCTGCGAGACGCTGTCGTAGCATCCAGACTGTCCGGTGACAGCGACGTCGCGCTTGGTTTCCGCGGCAACCTCAACTCCAGCTCCTCGAAGATATCGGAGTTGCGAGACAGTCGACTCGATGACTTCCTTGTCACGCCGATGGCCCTGGGCGGTTCCGTCGGTGACGGCGCATTGCTGGTCGATTGCTGCTGCTGCTGCTGCTGCTGCTGTTCCTGCTGCTCCAAACTGTCCAAAGTATCCTCGGCGATGGTCGGTGGTATCGACGGCGAGCTGGGCGCGGTACCGCTGGACGGTGTCGTCGTCGGCGTCGTGCGACGCGGTGGACGCCGGTTCTTCGGACGCACGGAGATCCGGTGATGCGCCGCCGTGTGGCTCAGACTCGCGCTTTCTAACTGCGCTGTTGATTGAGAAAACAATTGCATTTATTGAGATTATCGATGCGCCAACTATAACAATATAATATGGATATTAGAGAATTTATGAAATGTTACATATGTAATCTGCATCATTAATGTAATGACTGTTGATACTAAACGTATTTTTAAGGCAAGTAAAAATGAAGAATTTGTAATAAAACTTATTACAAATTATTTCACATTATTATTTAACACGACAATTGGACCGTTACGAATTTGAGTTCAACGGCATTACTCGCGCGAAATATTTTTTAGCCAAACTTTCTCTCACATTTCTCTACGTCCGCTTAATCTAACAGTCTCTCATATTTTCATGTACAAACTTGTAACTAGATGGCTAAACTGTAATAAATCGTGATTATCTCAATAATTTGGCGTGTTGTGGAGAAATGAAATTGTGAGCAACATTCTGTGGCACTTACGTAAATCTTCCTTGGCCACCGGAACGATTCGATCAAGCGAATCCTTTGTTGATCTCGTAATCTATATAAAAAAGTTCAAAATCACTGTTATTATTTAATTAAGCTCCGATTAAGCTTGTATCACGCACTGCCAACGAATCTCATTGCGCGATTTCTTGCCCTAACGGTCGAAAGTTCATAAAGAAACTAACAAAGGGGAACAATTCGTCACAAAATCTAGATTTTCGTAGGTCTGCCATTTCTGGTGAAAGCTGATGTCTATTAATTAAAGTTAACAGTAAATAATTTTCCTGGAGTCTTTGCTCCTAGTAAATACGCATTACAAATTACGGCGAGTATTTTCCTCGTCCATTGCTAACGCAATTAATTTAAGAAACCGACATCAGGATTGATATTAAATATCGAAATTGCAGTTTTACACATTTGGTTATAATCCCCCTTTTTTATAAGTACGTTCCTATATTAATTTTTATCGATAATCGCAACACTTTCGTGAAGTTGGCGTGCTTGGTCTAAGCTGATGCCAATTAATTAAAATTACCGATAAACCAATACTACTGGAGTCTCCGCTCCAAGGAGAGACCTTTTTACAAATTATACGTGCATTTCTTTGTTCATTATCAATAAAATTAATACGAAAAGCATTCGAAGAAACGCGCGCACCAGAAATGTGCTCCAGGCAGGCTTCGTGAAAATAGATCGTCGATTGGTCTGAGCCTATCGGCTCCTAAATGCCCGATTATTTTCAATTTGCTAATTGATCTGCTTCCAACACGAGGAGCGATTTCGTGCGACATAACGTGACTCTCGGCGCCGTTACCGGCGCCGATAATTCTCGACGGGCGAACCAGGCAGAGCGAGCACGTCGCCTGGTTGGTCTCTAACGGTATTGACCACCGTGCGAGCCGAGTCGCCGAGCACTCGGCCACTTAACCGCGATTGGCTTCGGGAAACCGGTCGCAGGTGCGTCGCCGCCTGCTCTCGGTGCCGAAGTCATTTCCCAAAAGAGAAGGAGAGCCGTCGCGCACACGCGCGGGAAAGAGGCGAACGGCGAAGGAGAGGAGAAAGGACGATACGGATGAGGCTCGGATCGTTCGTCTCTTTAACCGATGCGTAATTGCGCCGACGATCGTGCGATTCACGCGATCCGCCGAGCGTCACGTGGGTGTGTAGGCACGAGGGACGATAATAAGGCACGAATGAGCAGCGAAGGAACGTGGTCAATCCGCAACCCGTTAAAGCCATTTGTACGCCGAACACAGAGTCCGATGTAACATCCCGGAATATTTTATGACGCAATCCTTTCAGAGAGTATACGCAAATCGGCTGTAATAATTTTACACGATTTTAATATAAATTACAAAAGTATTATCTATATAAAAGTGAAGTATTATCTGTATAAAAGTGAAAGTACGTACTTTATACAATTCTATACCAATGGACCGATCTGAACCAAGTTTGGCATAATTTAGTAGAATTCTGCGAAAAGTACAAGCTCTATTTTTAGGGCTGGAGACCCAACTTCGGCCTCCCGTAGTCATAAGGGGATTTTAAAATATTAAATTAACAGAAGATAAAGAACCTACTTCTCGTCTCGGCGACATTTTGAAGACTCACTACGCGAATATCTCACTTCACGAAAAATGTAAATCGCCATCGAGCGACTCGGCGAATAAACGTAAATCGCTTCACTTTCCTCACGGACCTAACATTTGGCAGCACCTAAGGAGGTAGCCGCTACCGATCGATCGATTACCTCGACCGCGTCCTCGAGAACGCGAGGCTGTTCCTTCGCGATCGTCGGTTCCCTCGCGGATCCTCGGTGGATCCTCACGCTCGCCGTCGTATCTGGCTGCCTCGATCTGAGACGATCCTCGATCTTGTACGATGGTCTCGTCGACACCGCCGATGCGTCCGCGACCTTGTCCTTACAGAGTCGTACACAGACCGATTACATGATTATTCGTTTATTAGCCGCGTATAGTTACGCGCGGGGCGTCGAGACGCGATCGCGCTAGAAATCCTTATACGATCATGCGATCGATTACCTCGATCGTGCCGACGTCAATTCGAGCCACGTGCTCTCCCTTCATCGCCGTCCGTTGAACTTTCGGCGGGATCTTCGTCGGTACCGGCACCGTCGTCGATCTCGCTCGGCTCTCATCCTTGCTAAGGAACGTATCCTTGCTGAAGGAGGTATCCTTGGTAAAGGAGGTATCCTTGACGTAGCATCCAATCGACACTATCGGCTGGCACTCAAACTTGCCCTTGAGTGCCCACACAGCTCGGATTAAGCACTGTATTATCCGCGTTCTCGTGCGATCGATCAATTTGTTCCTCGCATCCGTTCGCGCGCGAGAGGACTCGATTAATGGGATTCCCCGTTGCGTTTAAAGTATATCGAAAGTATATCGAAAATCCCGCGACGCGATATTATATTAATATTTTAAAATGCGTATCTTTTTAAGGTGGCTTACGTGACATTTCAACCGCAAAGCACTTCTGATTAATACACTTCAGACACGGGTGGAGAAAGAGATGTAAACATAGTTACGTGCGATCTAGAGTTATCGTTATTTATCAGTCTATTATCGCATTAAGTGCTTCGTCGTAGATAAATAAGCGAATAAATTACCGCCTCTCCTTTCCTCGTGAATATTAAATTTAGACTAACTTACGATCGGCAGTAAATAGCGATTATCTCGCGGCCGAGGCAACCGGGGAAGAGCCCCAGTAAGCAAATCCTATCGCGCGATCGCGATCGATATCGTCGGTTTTACCTCGTTCGCGTGTTCCGCCCGCGATTCTCTCTTCACCGGCGGCGCGGGCGCTTCCTTCTTCACCTGGCACGCGGTATTCGCTTCCCTCTTCTGCGTCGAGAGCCTCTGTCGCGTCTCCGCCTTCGATCTGGACCGCTCGATCTCGATCTTGCGCGCCGCGATCACGGTCTTGCCGATCGGGCTCGGTATCTCGTACTCGGCGCTCCGGTCCTTGCAACCGTAGACGCCGATGCTGATCTTCGGCGCCTGCGACTCCACTACTATCCCGGCCGGGAAGCTCTTGCATCGCTCGTTGCCGCCCTGCCTGGTCTTGTCGATCAGCCGTCGCCTCTCCACCGGGTTCAGGTTCAGCTGCTCGATTATCGCCCGTATGTTCGACGAAATGCTGGACTCGCGATGTGACACAACCATGATGACGGCGGTGACGAGGCGCGTAACTGGATCGCGACGGTCCTCTTCAAGTAGTCGCACTCGCACGGCCCGTCCTGCGATTCATGCGCGGCTTTCGGCTGCGGAAACGCGCGCGTTTCGTCAATACTCGTCAGGGAACGTCAGGACGGTTTCCTAATCGCCGTGAATCTACGTAGGCCACTTGAGCGCCGATCGAAAACTCTCTCGTGTCGCCACGACGGTCTTAGAAACTCTCTGAATCTACGTCGAGCTCGTACTTCCCGCTTTTCAATCCGTAAACAATGAAATTGTTCAATGGATCACAATTCTTCACGGGACTCGGCTAGTTTCCCATTCGGACGATTATATTTTCCACGCACGACGTTACATTTTCCTGGTTATTGTCAATTTATACCGACTCCGTATAGCTTTGTGTCTTTCATTGTAATTTATAATTAGTTTCAACTAATTGTCCAACCGCGCGGCGATCGAACTCTTCACGCGTGTCAGCGAGGCGAACGGCTCTTTTTTTTAATTATCATAAGAACAGACTCGCTTTAAGACGAGTTCACGTTTTTCGATTAAGACTCCGCTCGACGGAGTTTCTTACGCGGATCATCTCGCGTCTAATTCGATTAATTCTACATTCAGGCATCGGTAAGAACTTTCCACGCCTCAACCCCGAAAAGAATCCAACGGGGTCACCGTCGTTCGTTTTCCCCAATTCCCACGGATCCGCGCCGAATTCGCGGCCCCTACGGCTTCATTCGTCATCTCGATTAACTTTCCGCGCGGACGCGTAAGAATCCAATTTTCCACGCGTGTCTTCGGCGGAATGCAGAAACGTCACGCCGCCGGCCTCCCTGATTGCCCGCGAATCTGAGCGCGGGCAGAAGATTCGCTCGCTATCTCGATTAGGTTTTCTATTTGAGCGGCAATGAGATTTTCCAGCCGAGCGCCGGAGAGACGCCACGCGGGTTGATTCGAGCATCCAGCCGAGCGGACAATTAAGGCCTCGCGGTAACGAATACCAGCCGGCGAGCGCCGGCCGGGCTACCTGGTTTTCGCAATTAGCGCGGGCACCCTTTCACAGAGCTTCGCACGGGCAAAGCCAACCGCGAGGCAGCACCTCGTCCTCGTTTCCCCGACCTATAAGGATCCACCGCGCGATATCCCGATCGCTTCCCACGCGATCATCTCTCTCGCGCCACCGTCTCTTCCTATCTTCGCGATCGTAAACCAAATCGTACGTCGATCTCGACGAGATCGCGCACCTCGTCGCGCTGACCTCGAAATTTCTATAAATAACTCCTCTGTTTCTCTCTCTCTCTCTCTCTCTCTCTCTCTCTCTCTCTCTCTCTCTCTCTCTCTCTCACCCCCGCGTTAGTTGTCGAGCCCGCGAAAACGTTAAAGTGCCGCTAATTAACTTTAAGACGCGCTTTCCAATTCGCGTAATCGATTCAGGAGTCGCGCGACCGCCTCTTTAAACGCGGTTCTTTCTTATCCCTCTTCTTCGACGGAGCCAATCTCGCGCGGCGTTTTCGATTTTGCAACGAGAAAGCGCCGTGAGAAAAACTCGAATTTCGATTTCTTCACTGCTCGCCCGGTCGAGGAGGCTCGTACCAGGAGATAGACGGCACGCCGTTTCGGATCGGGGGATCGACCCACGTAAATCGCCCACGTTATTTGCACAACACCACCGCGATTCCTCGCTCTCGCGCAATCGCTAAACGCCGCGGCCGTGCGTTCACATTTGTTATAACATCGCGCTACGCGACACAATGGGGCATCAAAGTATCGCCTCGACCTCGACGTAGCTCTCCTCGGGTTTCGCACCGACGCGGCGGCAGTCCTGCTCTTGAGACCGCGCGCTCTCCGTTAATTAAAACTC